GACCCAAACGACTTTAACACTGCTGCCCTGTTGAATGAATGCGTGGTGGACTGCCGCCCACCAGATCGCGTGCGGTGTTCTTACGCGTTGACGTTCGCGCGTCTTCAACACCGTTGAACTGGCTCATCGTGCGACTTGCTACGCATCATATGCTTTGCATTGTGCGAAACTGACCCAATCGCGCAACGAATCGCCAGAAAATGACTCTTACTTAGTCAACCCTCCTTCGAGACTCCAAAGCCATCACTTCGGCACCCTCTCCGGGCCTACAGCCATGCTTCTTCATACTTAAAAACATGCGCCAGGATGGGGGGTGCTAATCCCATGTAACGCATTTGTAAACTCGGGTATGTAATGGAGGAAAGTTTCGACGAATCTAACCAATCATCAGGGACCATCTCTCAAATGATGGTCACAGTCTGGGCTTGTAGGATAATGGATAGTCCCCTAGACTTCGAATCTAGTAATCCGAGTTCGATCCTCGGCAAGCTCATTGCCCATGAGTTCTTTTTTGCATTTTTTTTCCAATGATCCAGGATGGAACCGAGCTTAGGATTTGATGCTGGCAACCCACCTCTAGATCAAGAAAGTGCCAGATTACTATTTTTTTTTTTTGGCCACCTCGGTTATAGAATAATGTGTGAGCCTCAGATGACAATCCGAGCTTGCCGGATAGGATGACCAGAAGTAGTTTCTGGGGGTGCACGCACCGGCATAGCGCCTTTTATGCCTAGACATGCTATCTGTGCCTCCCATCTTGCAACTCATGAGTCCTTGCGCACCGACGCGTTTCTTTTTGCCTAGGCATCAGGCAGGTGTTTTTGAGAGCTCAAAATGTTTATCTAACATGCATAATGCCTCGTAGGCGGATATACATGAATTTTTTGATCAAAGTCTCGTAGGCGGATATTCTAGCATCCTTACGTGTTAGAATGCCTTTTAAAGTGTAAGATAGTCTGATCTTAGAATATTTCATTTGTGCTGCTGAGGCATATAAAAAGCGCGTCGAGGCGGAGGTGCAGTAGTCTATGTATAACGGTTTATCAGAGAAAAAAAAAAAAAAAAGGACAAGGGGCATATTTGCCTGATACTGAAGCATAAAAACCACGTCGCGGTGGAACTATTGGAAGGAAAAAAAAAAATAATAAGACTCCCTAAGACTGAAGCATAAGTAGGCATGATGCTGCTACAAGGAAACCTTTGCGCTAGGTAGCTTGATGGATGATAGCTAATAGCTATACCAAAAGTGGCCCTGTCAAAGAAGATCATAGCGCGCACACATATCATCAAAAGAGGATGATCACATCAATATCAACAAATAACACAATGGAGAAGACTTTTTTTTTTGATAACTAGGACCCACGGGGACTACACAATGGAGAAGACATGTAAACGACAATACTTTAGAGAATCAAGCCGACAGAAGAGAAACCTGCACCTATAATAGTGATCATATTCCCAACCTCAAAAACATATCTGAAGAAAGCCTTGACAAAAGGTTGTAGAAGCACTATGTGAACATCATTCCAACAGCGAATTCTCCATTCTTTGCGCCTTGACACAATCACTAATCACTTATAGACGATCTTAAGCCTGGAATACAAAGTACAAATGCTCTTACTGCGCCGCCGGTGCAGCATCATGTCACAGAACTTTGCAAGAAATCATAAGGCTTTGAAAAAAAAAGGTTACGCCCAAAAACGATTTATCGGCTCTTAAGTGTACAATCTCCAAGCGTCCAGTCATTCATCCTTATCCCATACACATTCACACATCGGCTCTCGCCTAGAACCTTGTGAGAAGTCCACAATGTATGACAACGATCCCTACTGGAAATTCATTTTTATCCAGCACCGCTGCGACCGGTTCAAGTGTGTCCTTTACCTGCTCCGGCTCTAACTCACACAACAGTTGAGAAAACTCGCCACCGCAACAACAGTGCAACACTTTCAAGTCGTCAGTGGCATCACCATCAATATCACCCATGCAAGTTTCACCACCCTTCAATAACGGCCAGCCCTAGACCGAGCCGATGGTGCAGCAATGATGCGAAAAGGACTTCATAATCAAAGGGAGGCATCGGAGGAAACCATATGGGAGAGTATCGGGCAGCTTTACTTAAGCAAAGGGAGGCGTCGCGAGAAATGGTGCGGAGGGAGTTTCAGGTAACTTGCTAAAGGGTGATGACTGATGCATGCGCCGCTTTCTGAAGCCCAAAATCAAATTCAGGTAGTCACCCGCCACCTGCGCCAGGCCCAACATCAGGGGAGCGAACGAGTCTATCCTGCTCCCAATAACATTAGCAGACGTAGGAGGATGCCAGAAATGAGAGATGTCTTGAAGTATTATTATCATAGTATCCTAGAAATTGTCATAGTCCTGATAGGAGCGTGTTTTGAGGTGAGTGCTACAGCCAGACTCTTATTTTGCGCTCCATGTCGCGTCGCATAGGGCTGCTCGTGTTTTTGTTTCTTTTTTTTTTTATTGAAGCAATGGAGCCAAGCCTCGCTAGATATTGGTACTGTGGTTTACTTTTCTGATCTTCCGCCTTATGAAAACTCTACAAGCTAAAACACCCTCAATGCTTACTGATCCTCATTGCTTCTTTATGTCTAAGCTAAGCCAAGTGACTTGGCTTACTAGTCATGGCTATCCCTGCGTAGCCGCGGGGCCGGGTTCGAATCCCGGTTAAGGAG